CTTTTTTAATTGAAAGTTTCTAAAGAATCTTTAACACTATCCGTGACGGCCTATTTGATTTTCTCAGTGATGGGGGGGGGGGGGCTTTCTGGGGGGCCAGAAAGCCTCCTTTTTTTTAATATCTAATATTTTTACATGCTGTTGTTAAAATATTTGAATCCCACCACTGGTTATAGTATATATAAATTGGTCACATACCAAAGAAGCCATCATTTCACGAGGAACATCGGGGTACAATAGTTGGGCAAGCCTATCCAAATCTTCTGCAAGTTCGGCTAAGGTATCTTCTTTCCCCCGTACCTTATTCTGGAACTTTGCCCTGGATACTTCTTTCTGGTGTGACATTCTAAACTTATTGGATAAGGCAGTTATCAATGGGTGATAATCATTATGGCTCTCAGATGGAAGGTTACTTAATGTTGTCAAAGATGGTCCTTTTATATGGGCAGCAAGATGTATAGCTTGTTGTTCATTAATCCACCCATTCACTCTGGAAATGATTTCAAACTGAGTTTGGTATGACTCTTATGGTATCTTCCCATAATGGTCCATTTGACTTCTTGACAGCCAATGTTGAATTGACAAGCTAAATTCTTTAACTAGATGTGGTAGTGTCATGGTTTGAGGAGTTCATGAAGGTTTTCAGTAACAGACAGCACAGAAGTAGTGGTAACAGGTGTAGACCAAATAAGTTCTATATTTTACAGTAGATGACATTTTAGGTTGAAACTTATGATCCGATGCAGAAAGAGGTGTGACTTATTTAATAATTCATTTTCCAGATGTTTTATACTGTTACTGATTTTCTTTTCTACCTCAATGATGTCTGTTTTTACTTCACTTTTGTCTTTAATTTTGCCATTATAAATTTTCCATACTTCATCCATCTTATGGTTGTAATTTATTTGTACATCTCCATTAATTTCATTGATCTTGTGTCCAATAATATTTATTTTTTACTTTAATTCCTATTTAAGTATCATATCTCTTTCTTTTAACTCCTCTCTTAAATTCCTGTCACGTTTTCCTTCATCATCTTTCAATTTTCTATAGCTTTCTTCTTGGCCTTCTTTTATTTTTCTATCTCTTTCTTCGAATTTTCTGTCTCATTCCTCTTGCTTTTGCCTTAATAATTTCGTCATCTCAATTAATGTTTGGATCTCACTAACTGATGTCGTGTTTGTCTATCTTTAACTCTTGAGCTCTATATCAGATATA